CCCGCCATCTCCCCCCAATATGAACCTCTGTAGGGAGCTGGCGAACAGCAGCACGCAGTCATCACAGAGGGGCTTCTAGGGCGGGATTGCAACCTTGCGTATAGCCAGCTACAACTTTATTTTCTTTACCCCCCATCCCCCTCCCCCCCCTTTTTTTTTCAGGGAAAGGGAGAAAGGAGGAGGGAGGGAATATTGTATTTGCCTCCTTTACTAACCATAATTGAATTAAAGTTGTAAAATGCTTGGGAGTTTAGCACTGACCGGGCAGGTTTTCAATGGCTTTTTTTTTTTTTTTCTCCGAAGAACTGTCGTTTAATGGATGAATGGATCTGATCGAGCTGAGAAAGAATATGCTAGATACATGCCTTTGAGTAAGATTTCTGCTGCCTTTATGCAGTGAAGCCTTTTGCTTTGAGTAATTCCGATCCAGTTGACGTCTGGTCAGAATTAGAGAGAGATTCGCTGAGACTTCCGATTTCTTGCTGCATGACTGCCTTTGCTGCAAGTGCTAGATTTGCAGCCTTGAACCTGATGCCACAGGAGATGTCTTGCAGTACTGAGACTTCCAGTTTTTCAGGATGCGTTCCTCCAAACCAGAGTTGTGGCATGAGGATTGGAGCTCTGAGGTGGACGCTAGAAAATGCAAGCCTGCTCCAAGATCCCAGCATTTAATCCTGGATGATTTATTAGTCTTCCCCTACCGACACACACAATGCATTTATTTTCCCTATTCATATTGCTTTTAGACTAGCAGAAGTAGAAGAAAGCCACAAGGAGTCAGAAAGACTGCAAGAAGGAATGGAAAATGGATTTGTTTCTAGATAGGTGAAATTCGGGTATTAAATTACTGACGTAGGTCAATGTTAGGGTTTCCCTTCCACCCCCCTTGGCTTTTAATCAGCCTGGGTATCTTCTCCCCTAAAGGATGAAGAGTACTGACAGCCATCGCTGCTTCTAATCAGTTACTGATGCTTGGAGTGTTGGCGATGAGATATTTCCATGAGACCTATTTAGATCTCTCCACTTCTACCAGGCTAGTTTTGCAGAACGTTGGGAGTAAGCGATATGTCAGATATGGCTGAGACTCCGAAGATGTTCCACATGTTTTACATTTTTCACAGATTTTGGGTGAGTGGTTAAAACATTTCCTTTAAGAGAGCATGTGTGTGTAAGAACTGAAGATCTCTTCTTGATAGTCAGCTCTGTTACATTGTATATAACTCATGGAGGGGGATGTGTGTCATAAAATCAATTAAAATTATTTACTTGCATAAAAGATACAAAATTTCTCTCACTGAAGAGAGCTGTTCAGTGCACTAAAGTAGGAGGTTAATGTATTTAATCTCATTACTGAAGAATTTGACCACAAAAGTCATCTGGGGGGGGGGGTGTGTATGTGTGTGTGCAAGTCTGTGTGGGTGGGTGTGTGCTTTTAAAATGTATAGATAGAAAAAACCAAACCATAAAACAGTTTTAAGAAATGGATGATGTGGAGAATGTGTCAGTATTCTCTCTGTTGCATTAAGCTGCCGTTTCCAGCACTGAGCATTTTTCTTTGGATTCCTACCATGGCATTTCCACCACCGGTTAAAAATCAAGGTAGAAGGAGGGGAAGACCTTGGTGCGCTGTTCACTGGGGAGGTTCTGAAGGGAGGGGGGAGCTGGGTAATAGAGGAGGTGGGAAACCTTGTAAAATGGTGCTTCTTTTCTCTTAAATTAGAACCGTGAAACTGAACTGACAGCCATTTTATGTATATTTATGGGGCTGGTCGTGAAAAAGAAATCCAAGGAAGCATTGAAATGCACCCCACAGGAACTGAACTAGCACAATTCCTACTGTGACCTCACCTTTTTAAACACCGCAGGCATTTGACTCACTAGGAGTTGCCCATCAATATTTTAATCAATGCATGTCATCCAGTTTTCGAAAGTGTGGGAATTAGAAGTGACAGGAGATTTTTTGTTTGTTTGTTTGTTTGATTAACAATCCATTCTCTACCCCACTGAAGTTATATATAAACTTTGTGTCCATTTTAAATTTTATGGGGCTATGCTATTATGCTGCTTTCTTTTTTTCTCCCTACCCTTACAGGAAATAAAATGTACGCTTGCTGCTCTACAGTAACTTTGGAACAGGACCTCAACAAAAAAATGCATATCTGGATATTGCAGACGATTGCATTTGCTCTAACATCACTAGTCCTTTCGTGGGCAGAAAGCATCGAGTATTATGGGGAAATCTGTGATAATGCATGTCCTTGTGAGGAGAAGGACAGCATCTTAACAGTGAGCTGTGAAAACAGAGGGATCATCAGCCTTTTTGAGATCAGTCCACCAAGGTTCCCTGTCTACCACCTCTTGTTGTCTGGGAACCTTTTGAACAGGCTGTACCCGAACCAGTTTGTCAATTACACGGGGGCTTCCATTTTGCATCTGGGGAGCAATGACATACAAGACATCGAAACGGGGGCCTTTCATGGTCTGAGAGGTTTAAGGAGGCTGCACCTGAACAATAACAAGCTGGAACTTTTACGAGATGACACTTTCCTTGGGCTAGAGAGTTTGGAATACCTACAGGTCGATTATAATTATATTAGTGTCATTGAACCCAATGCCTTCAGCAAACTGCATTTGCTGCAGGTGCTGATTCTCAATGATAACCTCCTCTCCAGTTTGCCCAACAACCTTTTCCGTTTTGTGCCCTTAACTCACCTGGACCTGAGGGGTAACCGGCTGAAGCTGTTGCCCTATGTGGGCCTTTTGCAGCACATGGATAAAGTGGTGGAGCTGCAGCTGGAGGAAAACCCCTGGAATTGCTCCTGTGAGTTGATTGCTCTAAAAGATTGGCTGGACAGTATCTCCTACTCTGCTCTGGTGGGAGATGTGGTTTGTGAGACCCCTTTCCGCTTACATGGTCGAGACTTGGATGAAGTCTCCAAGCAGGAGCTTTGCCCCAGGAGGCTCATCTCGGATTATGAAATGAGACCGCAAACACCATTGAGCACCACAGGGTATTTCCACACTACCCCGGCTTCGGTCAACTCTGTGGCCACTTCTTCTTCAGCTGTTTACAAATCCCCCTTGAAGCCCCCCAAAGGGACCCGCCAACCCAACAAGACGAGGGTGCGCCCCACCTCCCGCCTGCCCTCAAAAGACCTGGGATACAGCAACTACGGCCCCAGCATTGCCTACCAGACCAAATCCCCGGTGCCTTTGGAGTGCCCCACTGCCTGCACCTGCAACTTGCAGATTTCTGACCTGGGCCTCAATGTCAATTGTCAGGAGAGGAAGATTGAGAGCATTTCTGAACTGCAACCCAAACCCTATAATCCTAAGAAGATGTATCTGACGGAAAACTACATTGCTCTGGTACGCAGGGCAGATTTTGTGGATGCTACTGGGCTGGATTTGCTGCACCTGGGCAATAATCGGATCTCGGTCATTCAGGACCGGGCTTTTGGGGATTTAAGTAATTTGCGAAGGCTGTACCTGAATGGGAACCGGATCGAGCAGCTGAGCCCAGAGCTGTTCTATGGGCTGCAAAGCCTACAGTACCTCTTCCTGCAGTACAATGTCATCCGGGAGATAGAGGCAGGCACCTTTGAACCTGTCCCCAACCTTCAGCTCTTGTTTTTGAACAACAATCTGCTGAGGTCTTTGCCGGGGAACATTTTTTCTGGTCTGTCTCTCTATTTTTTACGGGCTGAGCCTGCGGACCACCCACTTCTCCTCCCTGCCGGTGAGCGGGGTGCTGGACCAGCTGAAATCCCTGCTGCAGATCGACCTGCACGAGAACCCCTGGGACTGCACCTGCGACGTGGTGGGCATGAAGCTGTGGCTGGAGCAGCTCAACACCGGTGTCCTGGTGGACCAGGTTATCTGCGAGTCCCCCAAGAAGTTTGCCCAGAGCGACATGCGGGCCGTCCGGGCGGAGCTGCTCTGCCCCGACTACTCGGACATCGTCGTCTCCACGCCCACGCCGTCCCCGGGCCAGCTGCC